TTCGTGACCACGGGCTGAGAGTCTTTTGCTAGATTTTGGCATTTAGCAACTGACATACGGTTTGATGTGAAGATAAACAACAACAACAACAATCTCACACTAGGTGATATAACGTTACCAGTAGAAGCATTGGTTTTACCGAACCTGGGTCCAGATAACATGTTGCTAGATAAAAACATCATGAACGCCTTTGGCGCAATTTGAGCCTGGTGTGGTGAAGAATTATCTTTCATGAATTCTGTGCTGAAAATACCCGCAACCCACCGTCGACCACGGGATCAAACATATCAACATGACAGTGCATCAGTACAAATTTCTGTTGTGACACTTGGCCCGTCCCAAGGAGCTACGCCAGTATATCTTTGTAGGAAGTACTGCATTCCTCCGAAACATGAAATGGCCGTTGATGTCGTGACTAGCCACGCCCCAAAGGAGTCCACTCCTGCAGTCGTTGAGCCGCGAATTATCACGTCCGACGATCTTGAATCATCTGATGATACCCCTCAAGCATTCCGCCGCATCGTTCTCGCGCGAACAGTAACTGGTCAGCAATTGATAAGACAGCGGTGGTCCAGATAGCTAAACCGTTTGATAGACATGTTCACCTGGACCAGGATACTCTTCGACGGTGTATTTCTCCAGTTAAGACGGTGTCTGCAAAAACGATTAGCGCCGTCAACGATGATCATAAGACTTTTTGGAAAAAGTGAATGAGCTGAATAAGGCGATGAAGAAAGCGTTTACGGATACCACATTTCGCCCCAACAATGCTCACAAATTCTCGATTTGTGTGCCCGTTACAGGAATGTGTTTTCCGTATCGCCGAACGAACTGGGGAATGCACCTTGACCGAAGCAGAGTTTCCGCTCGAGCCCGGTACAAAATCAGTTGATCGGGCACCGTACCGCGCAAACCCACGAGCACAAGAAGCTATCGATAAATGTACAGCACAAATGGAAGCTGATGATATCATTGAACAGCGACCTTGTTCATGGGGATCGGCAGTCACTATTGTAGCAAAAGCCGACGGAACCCCTCGATTCTGCGTGGATTATCGCGGTACCATTAATAAGAGTTTAATTCGAAAATCTTGGCCTATGCCCGATATTAATGCATGCCCACATTGATACAGTAGGTGGAGCAAAGTTTATCACTGTGTGTGACGTGCAGAGCGCGTACCACCAGATACCTGTTGCAGCAGCGGAGCAAGTGAAGACCGCTTCTGTGACACAAAAAGGAAAATGGGTTTTTAAACGCCTCCCTTTTGGAATTGGGAACGCCCCGTTTTTATTTGCTCGCATGTTGTCATTAGCATTTGCACATATTGGACCCCGAAGTGGCCTCCTCGTTTACATGGATGACATCATGTGCTGTAGTTCGACTTGGGAAAGTCATCTGACGTTGTTAGAAATTACATTCCAAGCCCTTCAAGTCGCAGGGCTCACATTCAAAGCTTCCAAGGTACAATTCGGACCAAGAGAAGTAAAATATTTAGGTCACATTTTGTGTGCGAAAGGAATTCGAATCGCAAACGACCGCATTAAAGCTATTGTTGACCTGCCCGCCCCTAAAACGATCAAAGAACTCCGTCCAGTTTTAGGTATGATAAATTTTGTGAGGTTTCTACCAGACTTATCCACGGTGTTAGCGCCTTTGGTAGACCTCACTTAAAACGAGCACGTCAAATCAATCGCAAAACGTTGGCGAAACGAACATGATGAGGCTTTTGCGACAGTTAAACGACTGCATACGGAAGCACCAATTTTACACCTTCCCGATTTTACCGAAGGCTTCGTCGTGCATGTAGATGCCAGCGAAGCAGGTGCTGGAGCTTTCCTTGCGCAGCAAACAGGAGATGACCTCAACATTATTGCATATTTTAGCCAACGATTCAACAATCCTCAGGGCCACTATTCTCCAACCATGACAGAATGTTACGCAGTCGTACTAGCAATACAGAACTGGCGGCCCTATTCATGGGGCAGACATGTTGAAGTTGTGACGGACCATGCTGCGTTGAGATACTTGTACACCATGCAGGACACTTCAAATATGCTGACTAGGTGGGCTATTGCTCTGTTGTCGTTTGGCTTTACTGTGCGATACAAGCCGGGGAGGTTACACGTTGTCCCGCACACCTTATCTCGGTTGTTTGCTTTTGAGTACCAGCAACACTTCGAAGCCCCGAAACTAACACCGATATGTAGGAATGTCCCCAAGGATCTTGCTTTGCATGTAGCTGAACCGAACAGACCTTACCAAATGGCCGCAGACTGACTGGAAAATTTGAAACCAGTGCAAAGTGATCGCGAGTTGTTTACCATTAATTCGGTTTACGTCAGCGGGAACATTTTTGAAACGATGAACCGAGGCATCTTGCGGAAAAAACAAGCAGCCGAGTACGGGAAATACATCGACTATCTTGTGGGGGAAAACGCACGAGTCCCGGACAATGAAAACAGCAACAACCATGTCCTATTATTTCGTACGAGACGGATTGCTGTTCAACTCGTATTTACCAGGTTACCTCAGAAAACGGAGTACGTTCACTGATAATTAGTATTGTCACAAGCTCTCACGGGCTTGGTTTTGCACGCTTACCACGATCACGTTTTGTCCGGAGGTCACCTCGCATCTAGGCCGACTTATAACAAGATCCGCCAGAAATATTGGTGGCCAAACATGAGTCGCGACGTTCGCACTTGGTGTCAGGAATGCCAAGCATGCCAGCGTCGGAAAACCGCGCACAATCGCACCAAACTGCCAACTGGACACGTACCAGTACAACGACCGTTTGAGCGAGTTTCAGTGGACTTAGTTGAATACAAGAGCGAATCGGTGTCAGCCGCCAGCGTACGATGCAAATATGTCCTTTCCATGATGGACCATCTAACTAACCCGATTCACCGTGTTGACTCCGATTCCGAATAAATCAGCTGTCACACTTATTCAGGCTATCATCGACCGCATCATCGGCATTTTTGAACCGCCTGCAATGTTGCATTCTGATCAAGGGCCTGAATTTGAGAATAGTGTGATCCA